AAAAAAAAGCATGTTCTGCTTGCATTGTTTCAAAGCAATGCCCACAGAGACCAGAAGAGGGTATCAGGGTTATAGTGGTTATTAGCTGCCATGTGGGTGCTGGGAACAAAATCAGAGTCCTCTGCAAGAGCATCCAGTGCTCTTAACTACTGAGCCATTTCTCTAGCCCCTTTGCTCCACAATTTATTATGTAAGAACACGTCTTTTCTTTTTAATGGTTACGCTAAGGCTTGACCTCTTTGTCTCTTGGGCCCCCTTCCATTCTTATCCAACTCTTTAAGACAGAAGTCACTGGACTGGAGAGATGGTTCAGTAGTTAAGATCACTCGATACTCTTGCAGAGGACTGGGATTCGATTCCCAGCATCCACCTGGTGGCTAACAACCATCTGAAATTCATGTTCCAGGAGATCTGACACTGTCTTCTGGCCTCCACAGGCAATGCCTGACATGGGTGCATTTACATACATACAAGCAGAACACATAAAGTAAAAATAAATAAATAAAAATTTAAAAATATTGCCGGGTGTGGTGGCACATACCTTTAATCCTAGCACTTGGGAGGCAGAGGCAGGCGGATCTCTGAGAGTTCAAGGCCAGCCTGGTCTACATAGTGAGTTCCAGGACAGATGGGGCTACAGGGAGATCCTGTCTCAAAAAGACCAAAAAAATTTTTTTTTAAATATTGAAGTCATTACTCTGAATTCACATGCCCACTGGAGCGTTCTGGAGGTGAGCATATTCCTCTGTGGGCTCCCATACATAGTCATCAGCCACATGTAACTACTAATGTGTGACTGAGGAGCAGAATTCTTAATTTCACTTAATTTAAGTCCATTTTTTTTTTCAAATTGTAATACTTCTGGCAGGTGGTAACCACACCTGGCAGCTCATCAGAAATGTCTGGTTTGTTTTTTTAATTCTCAACTCTGAATGCAAATCAAGTCTCTGAGCTGACTCTAATTCTTCACTCGATGCTCTGGCAGCTTTTGTGACTGCATGCTGCACGCCTTGCACCTCTGAGAGCTCGTGCAGAGCCTGCGTGCAGCAGTCTTGTTGTCCCAGGAGAAGAATCAGGAAGCTTGTCGCCAGAGAGGAAGCCAGTGCACCCAGCCACTTTGGACGGCAGAGCGTCTGGGGAACCAGTCAAGCCCCATTTATTTATATCACAGAGTGTTACAGTTGTCCACTCTGCAGCTGAGAAACTGCTAGGAAAGGGGACAGAAATTGGCTTTGTCTGTGTTCTCTGGCACCTACTGCTGTTGTTCAAAGGATGCCAGAAGAATCAGGGTTGGGGAGGGAGGGTACTGGAGAGCTCTGGGTGGGCAGACCCTCTCGTCTGGGTGGGCAGACACTCTCTGTGTGTCCCTAGGGAAAAGGGAACTCGGACACTTGCACATCTGTATTGAAACTGATACAAATGTCTCCAGGTCGTTCTGATCCACCTGCCGTGGGGACAATTCTCACCATCCAAGGCATGGAGACGGGGGACTGCCAAGTGAGCACTTTGAGCAAATCTAGGTCTAGCTGTGTATTTATGATATGGTTGCAGAAGCCAGACTTAGCACTTAGGTTCCAAAAGACAAGAAGCTTCCCTTACCCATTCTTTATGCAGCTATTGACCCCCCCGCCAATCAGAGACAATTTGGGTTTGCAAGCACTCAGTTATAGGATCCAAGTACTATCAGCTCCACTAACAGAGCACATCCATGTGTTTGTGATGCACACCCGTGTGGTACACATCCGTCCTGGTGTGCTCTCTCACCATAGGCCTAAAAGCATCAGAGCCAACCAACCACAGCCCTTAGTCAAAGTTCATACTGTGAGCAGAAATGAACCTTTTCTTTCTGAAGGCTGACTGTCTCAGGTGTTTGTTCCAGTACCAGAAGCTGACTAACACTACATAGAACCTAAGCTCTGCCATCTGGTGGCTGGGCTCTTCCATAATTTCTAGCACGTTACCTACCTTATGTACACACACATTTTCACCTGTAAAACAGCTGGTTAATTGGCATGAAACAAATGCCTTAAACCACATAATAACTAATAAGCTAAATTAGTTATTAGCTTATTAGTTCTGGAAGAGAGCTAGAAGTCATGATGGTGAATGTTACTCTCTGTGTATAGATCACTCATCAGAGTGGGTGAGGACCCACTCTGTCATCTTTTTAAGTCACTCTGTGTAGGTTTTGCTGCACCAGAACAGCCTTTGACCAAACAGCTACCAAGCTCCGAGACCTGAATAACTTCTGTGTTTCCCTAAAACCCACAGTTCAGCTTCTGTTGCCTCTTCAGTAATACAATATAGACTTCTGTAAAACTGTTATCCTCACTGACCCAGTAATTCTTAGCCCAGAGATACCGGAAGGAAATAATTAAGAATGTTCACAGCATCTAGTTGTGAGGATGTTTACATATGTTATTACAATTATAAACAACTGGAAACAATCTAATGATCCTAGAAGACAACTGGCTCAGGGACTGCCTAGTAACTAAGAGACCTGTAATCAGTCACTAAGTCAATCAACCAACCTCAGAGTTGAAAGTTAAGGCAGAGACTTAGGGTAGATGCATATTTCACAAGGCTGGAATCTTACACATTTAGGATGACTACCTTTAAGAACTTCTAGGAATAAAATTCAACACAGGGCCTTAGTAGGAGCTTGTGTAAGTGAGAAGCCTTTGTTTTAAGTTTTGTTAGCCTTGTGTTGGTCTCGAGAAGGAAGTCTGCTGAGCTTCAAAGTTCATGGCACCCTGGTTAGGTACCACAATCAGAAGAAATTGCATTCTAGAGCTAAGAAACAAAACATGGGGAGAAAGAGAAAGAGAGAAAATGGGCGAGGAGGAAAGTATTTTCTTTTTGAGACAGGGTCTCTCTGTAGCCCCAGCTGACCTGGAACTTGCTATGTAGACCTGGTTGACCTGCTTCTGACTCCAAAGTGCTGGGATTAAATGCAAACTACACCATATCCAGAGAAAGTATTTTCTTTAAAGCATCAAGAAAAAAGAAATCAAGAAGAGACAAAAAGTAAGAAAAAAATTAATGCAATGCGGTTGGAGAACAATCTGCTTCAAAGAGATTTTACAGGAAAGTTTAGAGGGTCCCTGAAAAGCTGTAGGGACAAACACTCCAACAGAGAGAGCAGCTGGACAAAAGGGAACACTTCTGAGACCAGCAGTCGAGCTGCACCATTCCCACTGTCCCTGAGATGTCCTGCCATCTTCTGACAAAGTCAAGCCCCAACATCACCACCCACTTCTTCCCTGTAGTGTAACCCGTGGTGCTGAGTATCAAGCTAAACTATCTTCTGCATAATCTATCCACATCCCCTTTCCAAATCAAAGCAGACTGAACACCCTGTCTGTCAGGTCTGCTCTTGACTTTCTAATTGCACCCATATAGGGAGCCTGTGACCTGTGGTCCATCCAAATCTGGGTGACAGGAGCCTGGCAGCTCTCCCTGAAGCCACCAAACTGCTGCAGGGCACAGTGGCAGCTTGCAGATCCCACATGGAGCTCTGGCTCCCTCCACCTGCCTTTTCCTCAGCAGGCCCTGACCCTGAGCAGCCCTTCTTTTTTAGATAGCTCTTCCCACCTGCTCAGTGCCAAGGTCACAGGATCTGCCAGTCCAGTTTGGGACTCTGGGATATGGTTCTCCACTGCTTTTACCCAGATCACATTCTGCACCAAACCAGGAGCCTAATGTGGACCTGGGGAACATAGAAAGGTTTGGGGCCTGCTATGTTTGAAGAGGGAAGGTTTGCCAGGGCCAGGAAGAAAAGTTTGCTCTTCAATCAACTCCTGGTATCAGCGTTATGGAGGAGTGTGTAATTGGACTCAAGCTGCAATAGGACTGTGAAAACTGGTTCTCTCAGAGGGTGCTCTCTTAAATACATTCTTGTTAATGAACTGACTGGTCACAAAGTTCCCAGAGTGTTCCAGGACCCCCATCCATAAAACCATTCTTTCCCTCGCATCTATCCAGTTCAGAAGAGGGAATCCTGTGCATTTCATACCCAGAGCACACACTTCACTGATCGTCTTCCGGCTTGGCCCCTCTAATAAGGATTTTCACTGGGCAGGAGAGTCATCCCAGGCTAGCTGTCATCTGCAACCACAGTAACACACCGATCCAAAACAGACTTGGGGAACCACTGACAAAGCAACTCTAGCTGCCATGAGAAGGTGGGCGTGGTGCTGCCGTTTCATTCCAAGGAAATGGTCAAGGAGGGCACCCACCTCCTCTAAGCACTCCTGCTATGAGGCAGGTAATAAAGTGTTGTGTGTAAGGTAGCTCACGACGCTTAAGGAGGGAGAGGCTCTCTTCCTTTTTTCAAACCCACCCCTCTCGGTTAGTAACTAGGCCACTTGACCCAAACAGAACTGATCCTTCTAAGGTCTGTCTCTAGGTTGGGGTAGCACATGAGAGATGAGGCCCAGGCTGCCCACCAGCGACACAGACTGTCTCTTGGGGATGCTTGTGGGGTCTTCCCACCATCATTCTTGCATCCCGGATCCTCTCAGCTGAGCTTCTGCAGAGGGCTATTTGGATCCCCCGCCGCCCCCTACCTCTCCTGAAGATCTCCACTGGCCCAGAGGCCACATTCTTGCTGCTTCTGCTTCCAGCACGCAGCTGAACTGGAGCGACCTGAAGCGGTACCCTACAGCTGCCCTGTCTCCTGGGGGCGGGGGGGGGGAATCCGGGACACTGGTCTAGCCAGCGGCAGACCCTCGGGGGCAGACAGCCAAGTAACTTTTCGGTGGGGAGAGTGAAGATGCGCCTTTCCCCCACCCCCCAGTCTGGCGCCGCACACAGGCACGCGGCGGATAAGGACCCCCGGGAAGCAGCCGGCCGCTGGGCCTCAGGATGTCAGCGCAGCCGCCAGACATTTAAATCGGGCCCTCGGGAGGCGGCGTGGAAGAAGCCGGAAAGGCGGCGGCCGGTCCCGGGAACAGTGGCGGGGGCCGGGTAGGGGTCGGGCACCCGGAGGGAACACTCACCAGCGCGTGTTGTCGTGGAAGTGCTCCAGCACCGCGTAGCCGAAGAAGGAGCCCGCGGGGCCCTGGAAGCGCACCGGGTGCTGCGTGTCGAGGTTGTAGGCGTCGGCGGGGACCCCCGCGGCCACCAGCGCCAGCAGCAGCGCTCGGAGCCCCCCGGCGCCCATCCCCAGCCGGCCGCCGCCCTGCGCCCTGCCCAGCGTTCGGGGCGCCCGCGGCCGCGAAGCTGCCCGGAGCCGGAGCGCTGCGCTCCGAGCCCGGAGGGATGCGGGAGCCGCGCGGGTTCCCCGGGACTGGGCGAGGGACTGGAGCTCGAGCAGGAGAGAGGCCAGGGCTGGCGCGAGCGGAGCGCGTCCTCTCAATCCCCGCGAAGTCTGCGCGCTCGGGAAGAGAGTGGGTCCCGGTCCCGGGCGGCGCTGGACTGCGGAGAGGCGCGCCCGCCGGGTGGGCGGCCCGGGCGGCCCGGGAGGGACGGGCCTGCAGCGCCCCCTGCTGGACACCGCGCCTCGGAGCACCGCCAGGACCTGGTCCTGGACCGGCCTCGGGCTGCCCCACCTCCTCGCCCGGCCTCAGGGCTCCTGATGCACTTGGATTCCCTCCGCTGATCCTCTCCCTGTTCCCTGTTCCGCGGGCCTAACTGGCTGGATCTCTCTCCTTTTGTCTTCCCCTGTCAGTCTCACACTCATACTAAGGACCAAAGCCCACCCTGAGCGAAGGATGGATATGTATTCTAGTCCTACCCATCCAAAGCGCTTCATGTTGAGGCAAGCACTCAATGAACTCTAGTTGTTAGTGATAACACACCTCCCCTCCCATATTCCCAGGTCTCCTTACCATTCATTGCATTTAAGTGCAACCTCTGCCTAACCTGGGAACCTGTACAATCATCAGTTTCCACTCCAGACCAGTTAATTGGGGGTTTGGGAGTTCAGCCACATGTGTGCATACATGTGTGACAAAAACAAAGTTTATGTCTTAACCACTTTTTAGTTGTGTGACCATCACCACATTCCAGCTGCTCATCTTGAAAAACAAATTGTATAGACATTCAACCAGCATTACACACACACACACACACACACACACACACACACACACACACCAGCCTCTGGCAACCTTTGTCTTTCTCTGACTATAAAGTTGACTATTCAAGGGTTGGAGAGAAGGCTCAGAGATTAAAAGCACTGGCTCCTCTTGCAGAGGACCCAGGTTCAGTTCCCAACACCCATGTGGTGGCTAACAACCATTGTAACTCCAGTTCCAGGGGATCTGACGCCCTCTTTTGTCCTCTGCAGGCACTGCACAACAAGGATGCTCTTATATATGTGCAGGCATAACACTCATACACACAAAATAAAGGTTTCTTTTTTTTTAAAGTTGGCTATCCAAGTTTAATATTTGTATTAGTTCCTTTCTGTTGTTGTGACAAATTCCATGACCAAAAGCAACTTGGGGTAAGAAAGGGTTTATTTCTGCTTACAGCTTACAGTCCATCATCAAGGGAAGTCAAGAGCAGGAACTGATGCAGAGACCAAGGAGAGGCTCTGCTTACTGGCTTGCTCAGCTAGCTTTCTTAAACAGCCCAGGCTTACCTGCTCAGAGATGGCACCACTCAGTGGGCTGGGCCCTCCTACATCAATTAACAATCAATACAGTCCCTCACAGACATGCCTGGGGACCAACCTGATAAGAATAATTATCCAGTTGAGACTCTTTTGCCAGGTGATTCTAAAGTTCTGTGTAAAAGTGCATGTCTTTGTGTGTGAGAGAGAGAGAGAGAAAGAGCCATAGTTTTGTTTTGTTCTGTTTTTAACAAATTCTTAAAAGATAAGGAGAGACGGCTTAGCAGTTAAAAACACTGGTTCCTGCATAGGACCTGGGTTTAGTTCCCAGCACCCACATGGCAGCTAGCAACCACCTATAACACCAGTTCAAGAGGATTCAATGCCCTCTTCTGGCCTCCATGGGCATTGCACACGTTTGTTGCACTTACATATGTGTGGGTAAAACACTCATGCACATAAAATAAAAATATGAAAAAAAATAATAAAAATAAATATATAGTATACAAATTCAGTTAAAATAATGTATTTGTCAGTGGACAGTAACAGGGATGACAGAGTATATGGGCTCCAGTGGGAGGAGGGGCTATGGGATGGTGCCATTTGGGATGCAGGTATAAAGATTAATAAGATTGTTTGGGATATTCTGTATAAAATACACACAAAAAATAAATTTAAAAATGAGTTATATTTGAGGAAGAAGCATAAAAATTTGCTTCATGTTAATTAGTAGAAATGAAAAACATTACCATTGAAATCTACCTGATAACTTTATATCCATGCTCAGGTGCCAAGGATCTTGGAAAGTAACTGACTATGACTAGTAATATTCAGATATACAAAGATAAGAGACGCATGTGCAAGCATCTAAGTATTAGTTTCATTAAAAAAGAGCTTTTCTGTATGAAACAGTATATTTTAAAAAGAAACAAGATATTTTTAAAGGTTAAAACCTCATTCAGTTTTATGTCTTATATGATTTATACTGAGTACAATAATGTATAACTGTATTAATTCAACACCGTGAACCTAAAAATTTACAGCCAATTTTGAAAGAGATACATTTTTGCTCTGGAAACTGTTAATGACTATGTCAATGCTATTGTAATGAAGTGCTTCTACTAATTATGTGGTTATTAAATAAGTTAAAATGAATGAATAAAAATAAAATAAAATAGTGTGTTTGTGTATAAGCCATGAAAGCAGAAGGGAGACTATTAAGGCAGAGGAAGAGGGCTAATGGGAGAGGGAGACAGAACCAGACAGGGCAATGAGGGCTGAGGATAAGCAAAGTAACATGACATGCATGTGTAGATGTCATCATGAAACACATTATTTTTTTTACAGTCATTTAAAAATAAAACATAGATTCACAAGCAGTGAGCTGGGT